AATGGGCAGGACTTAGCAGCTGACTTAAGTAAATAATCCATGACCAGCTTTGATAGTCCTCTACGAATGCCTTGATTTTAAGGACAAATCATTTTAAAAGCAGCTGGCTTATTAATCATTCTTCTTCACAAAGTCTCTTCTCCTAATGCAGTGGCAACCTGGTTTTCATTTGAGTGGTGAATTATCCCGGTATAGCTAACTTAATATATATTACATAAGAATTTCACTCATTTTAGCCCATTTTATTTAAATATTGTAGAAATCTACAAACATAACACTTATGGGAAATATGTACTTTCTCCAACTTTGAAATTCCCATAATTAGAAATCTTTGATAACTACAACTATCCTTTCATTTATTCAAATATTTACCGGGGGATTGCTATGTCAAGGCACTGTTCTAGGCACCAAGGATAGAGCAGTGAATGAGACAAAAACTCTGCATTCGTGCAACTTCCATTCTGTGGGCAATCTCTTGGTATCCAGGCTCTAGTATGTGCTTGGGCATCATATTCACAGACATAGGTTTGAATATACAGTAATCGGAAATATTCTACAAACTATTCATGCATGCCACCACTTCCAATTCCCTCAAACATCCTGAACTAATTCTTCCCTTAAATTTTAAATGAAAATTATAACTGAGCTTGAGTCATAAGGTAAAAACTCCATCTCCCTAACAATGTCAGTTTTGTTGTAAGATTTTATCCTCCTGCATTTCTGTTCTCCAAAATCTCTCACTATTGGGGGCGGGGTGGGGGGCAACATATCTTAAGCATTTCAATTTTAAAGAGATATACAATTGTGAACATGGAAAGTACTATTTGGAGATTCCCCCAAGAGATTTCTACAAGATTAATAAACTAAAACTAAAATGTTAAATCATTTCCATTTATTCATTAAATAAACATTCGTTCTCCCAGGAGCTCAGACTCTAAGGGGGGAGGGAAGGTGACATAAACACGTGCAAATGAGCAAATAAGATTACATGCAGGTCATAATCAGTGTTAGGAAGAAAATAAACTCAGAGCTGTGACAAAGACTCCAAGAGACAAACTACAGACCAAATGATCTATTAACATACTTAATAGACTGACATCAGTCTCTTACCAGGTTGCCTTTAAGACTCCTTGACATTCATATAGAAGATTCTGTGTATCAAAGCCCATCAAACTTACTTCAATGTTACCTTTATAGAGCTAGAGCTAGTCTGTGAAATCTCTAGCAGAAAATAAAGGACATCACCCAGTTAGTTACTACCTCTGGGACTGGGCTTTTGATTATATTTAGTGTGATCATACAATTTATTACCCAAACTGGAACATTTTCAAGAGAGAAAAGGGATGCTTTATTTTTATTTTTTTAAGGTTTTTTTAATTTTTAAAAAAAGGTTTTATTTATTTGAGAGATAGACATATATAGCAAGAGAGAGCACAAGCAGGAAGGAGAGGGAGAAGCGGGCTCCCTGACGCAGGACTCGATCCCAGGACCCTGGGATCATGACCTGAGCTGAAGGCAGACGCTTAACGACTGAGCCACCCAAGCGCCCGAAAAGGGATGTTTTAATAATTATGCCACAACAACAGGCACAAACAAGGACCTTCCACCAGGGTAAACCAGGCCTTATGGTCAGCATAACTATATGCCATATCAAATATAACTAATCCAAAATTTTAAGAGCATTGTATAGTTCCACATGAATTTAAATTTTAAGTAACATCCAAGCAAAGGACCTAAGTTTTAATCTGGATCATGTAAACCAAGTGAATCCCTTACTAAATTTAAGTGAAAAGGGAAAACAAAAAAGTTCTGAAAAAGTAATCAAAGTATCTTCATGACCTTGGGGTACGGGAAAATTCCTTAAAAAAAAAAAAAAAAAGAAACACTAGCCATAAATAAAAGAGTAATAAACATGCCTACATTAAAATGAACTTCTGTTCACCAAAAGAAACCATTAAATGGAAAAAGATGTTTGCAACAGATATACCCAGCAAAGGATTCGTACTCAGAATACTGAACTCTAGAAAAAGACCCATATTTCAGTAGTAAAATGGGCAAGAGATTTCAAAGGCATTTCATGAAAGGTGAAATCCAAATGACTAGGATATGAAAAAGTGTTCAGCTCATTAGTAATCAGGAAGTTTAAAGCCAGGCACAATCACACTCACCAGACTGGACAGAATTAAAATATCTGGTACTAAGTATTATTGTTGGTAAGGGATGTGGAACTAGAACTCTCATATACTAATAACTGAAATAAAAACTAGTAAACAACAACAACGAAACTGCTTGGCATTACCTAATAAAGACACACCTTCCCCACGATCCTTCAATTCAAATATACACCCTCAAGAAAAGTACACAAACAGGCATCAGTGCACTTAAACACAAATGTTCATAAAGGCACTGTTCACAATAGCAAAAACTGTAAACAACTTAAACATTAACTGTAGAATATTAAAAACAAATGCAGAATAAACTTGTTATATGCCTGATGAAATAATATACCACAACAAAACAAAATCAAATATATACAAGATGATTCCATTTATATAGAGTTCAAAAAAGGACAAATGTAAACTCTATTATTTAGGGATGTAAACTTAAGTGATAAGACTATAAATGTTAAATAATGTTTATATCCAGCTTAAGTGGGTAGTAGTGGTGATGGGAAGATGCAGGGAATGGGAGGATTCTGGGATGCTGGCAATGTCTGTCTTGCCCAGGGTGGTAGTTACAAGGATCTCTGTTTAAAAATACTTCATTCTTATCTATGTATCTTTTCAACATGTGGGGTATTTCACAATAAAAGGGGGAAAAAAAAAACCCTTCCCAGAGGGGAAAAAAATTAACTTCCAAAAGAGAATTCTAAGAATGTCATTTGAAGAGATTAACTCAAATGATAGTTCACAAAGATAACAGGGATCTCTAAATGCAAATACACATTGTATTCTAAACTCCATAAACAAACTTTGGCTTTAATCTGTTAGAGTGCCATTCTTCCTCCAAATTTTGAAAAAGGTGGAATATCAGAAAGCAAATTACTTCACAAGTCATATAAATTCTAAAATTTTAAGACCAAATACCCCACTTCTAATTCTGAAATTTGAAGTGCCCAGTGTTGACTGGATAGCTATGTAGGAGTTTTAGATTAGATACTGCTAAGTAGAATAAGCTACCAAAATTTGTAACTTCAGTTTTTGCAAATACAATTGGATTCCCAAACCTCTGTTACATATTAAATAACTCCTACTGCTTAAGAAAAGCATATATTATGTATGTGGGATTAATTATCACAGCCATAAGTACGGATATACATTCAATGATTTAAAAAAATATTTTCATTGCTATATTTATCAAGTCATGATACAAGGAACAAATTGGCATATGAACTGAACTATTACAGACTAATAAAACTGCAGTTTATTGACTCTAGAAGCTGAAAAGGATTTTTTTTAAATGTGGCTCATTAACAATACAGACTTTTTGTTTTCTTATATAAAATGATACATTCAAAGATTTTTAATAATTTCATAAAGCCATCAAAACTAAGACACTATACAGCTAAATATCCATGAGGTGGGAGTGGAAAAGAAGCGAAGATTTTAAAAAAATAATAAAATTAAGACTCCTTACTCGGGTATAAAATTTGTCCCAACACGAGTGTCATTAAAAAGGACCCCAAGGGGCGCCTGGGTGGCTCAGTCGGTTAAGCGTCTCCCTTCGGCTCAGGTTATGATCCCAGGATCCTGGGATCGAGCCCCGCATGGGGCTCCTAGCTCAGCAGAGTCTACTCCCCCTCTCTCTGCCTGCCTGCCGCTCCCCCCCGCTTGTGCTATCATAATAAAATCTTAAAAAAAAAAATAAAATAAAAAGGACCCCCAAAATGTCACTAAATACTTGTGTGATACTGTGAAATGACTCTCCTACTAGTTATAGATTAAATTTTTCTTTTTACAGATTTAGAAAATTTCTTCCTAGCCCTGAACCTCTGTCTCTACGCCGGTATTCATTCCATAATTCTACTAGATGTACTGGAAAGCTACCTTCGTTATCTCGCCACCCTCTCCTAAGCATTTCAAACTTGGGAGATTTGTTTTAAGAGCAGGAGCTAAAGTTTATTTTCTTCCTGGTTTTCTGGCGGAGCTAAGGCACAGCACGTGTGAACGGAAACAAAACCCACTCAGACTGTGCGACGCTTAATGAAATACTACGCGTACGACACTTTCCTCCTCAACGCCCAGAACTCGCCATCCCAGGGAGCCTCCACAGCGACCGGTCAGCGCCCACCGACTCCTCAGATCTGCCTTCGGAACAAGGCTCCTGGATCAAGCTTGACCCCCCCTCCCCACCGGCTTTCCAGAAACAGGGTCGATGCGAGAAGCGCAAGCGTTTCTAAAGAGATGGTTGCACAACAGTCTTTGAGGATTCCGGTTTAACAGGTAAATACCACGTAGGAGACAAGTGGGATGCGATCTGCTCGATGGTACCCGGTGGCATCTGGAGACCGTCTGCGTCGCTGGGCAAACCCAAAGTTTTGGCACATTACTTAACAGTTCACCTGATGAATACCGCAACGAATCGAAATTAAGAACGTGAGGAAATAGGTGCCTCAGAATCAACAAATCACTAAACTCGAGCTAGGCGGAAAAATTCTTTGAATACTCAGGCTTTGTTTTGTGGCAAGACGACAGAACCCCCGAATTTCGGAGTTGGAAGACACGTCTCTCCGTGTTCTCCGGCCCGTCCTCGGACTTCAGGGCCGGGCCGCCCCGCCCGCCCCGCTCTCGGTCCTGTAGTTCCCGGATTGAAGGCGCGGACCTTCGGGGTAGAAGCCAGGAAGCCCAGGGGAGGCCGCGGCCCGGCCCGCGACGCCCGAGCCCGGAGGGAGGGAAGGGAGCGGCCTCCGGGAGGACCACGGCGGGGGCAAGGAGGGAGCGAGGAGGCCGCGGGCCGAGAGCCGGGCGCAGCACCCCACCCCGAGGCCCGCCCCGGCGTACCTTTGGCGAGGGCTACGGTGGAGTTCTCGGTGTCGATGGTGTAGAGGATGCCCTCGTAGCGGATCTCCGCCTTGGAGATAAGGCTGATCTTGCTGCCGATGTAAGGGGTGCCCCCGCTCATGGCGCCGCCGCCGCCGCCGCTCCGGGCCGCTCGCAGAGAGGCAGATCCCACGCCGCTGTCGCCGCTCCGCAAGCCCGCTCGCTCCGTCGGCGCCTACAGCAGCCGCCTCAGACCCAACATGGCGGCGGCGCCGGCTCCGCTACCCTCCCCCAGCCTCCCGCCCTCAAGCCGCGGCGCGGCGGCGGCGGCGGCAGCGGCGGCGGCGGCGCGGGGCATGCTGGGCTGGCGAGGCCGCGCTCTCGCGAGACTCGGCCGGCTGCGGGCGGCTCAGCCTTCCCCGGCGGTCGCAGTAGTCCCGTCGGTGCTGCTTGGCCTAGTTCAGGGCGGCGGTGGCCGCGCCGCTTGAGAGGCGTTTCAGGGAGAGGCGAAGTACCTTGTGTCGCCAGGACACGGTGGGCTGGAGTGGAGGCGCGCGCGGCCCTCTTGACCTCACCTGCGGCCTCCGCCATTTCCAGACCCGTCGTATTTTGTCTTGCGTCCCGTGTCTGCTAATGCGGATCTCTCAGCCTGGAAAGTGGCCCATCCGCCTGTGAGCTCCTGGCGAGCCCTTTTAAGACCCGGTCCTTTCCCCTTTGAGGCTACTGTGCCCCTCTTGAAGCTCCCAAGACCCCATTACAGCATCCCATAACCCAACCAAGTCCCCTCCTCTACTCCCCTTCGCAGCTGCTGGAGCTGGGACTCTGTCCAGCACTTTTGAGATGGTCTCGTCTAGACTCGTGGCTTTCAGTGCCACTCTACACAGACCAATCCCAAGCATTTGTCTGCTGCTGTGATCAATTCTGTGAACTCTGGATTCATATAAGCCATAGTCTCCTCAGCCTCTCTAGTGGGATGTCTAATCGGCATCTAATTAACTTTGTGTCTCCAAAGCAATGCTCCCTATTTTCCCTCTAAAATTAACCTTTGCCCACTATTCACCACTGAGGTAACTGGTACCATTTATTCAACTGCTCATCCTTGGAGTCATCCTTGACTTCTCTCTCACCCCGAAATCTGTTCTGATTGCAAATCCTGTCCTTTCCAGCTATAAAATATAAACTGAATCTGATCACTTCTCACCATCTCCATCCCTACCCCTCTACAACAAACCCCACTTACCCTGCCCAGGGTTACCACAATTGCCTCCTAAAAGGTCCCTCTACCTCTGTTCTTGCCCCAAGTAGTTAATTCTCCACACAGCAGCCAGAGGGATCTTGCCAAAATCTAAGTCAAATCACATCCTTCCTCTACTCAATACTCCTCTCCCCAGTGATCCTTTGTCACACCGAGTGAAAGCCAGACTCTTTACTTAGGCTTATAAAAACATGTATGATTTAGCCCCTTGTTGCCTCATTTCACCATTCTGTTTTAGCCGCCCTTTCTTCACCCAGAAGCGCGGCAACGCGGAGAGCAGGAAGCAGGAAAGAAGACTAGAGGTTGTGTTGAGCCTGGTGCACAATGGCTTCAAAGGAGGGCTATGAGATAACCTGCTTCAGTACCGGCTTCCTGACAGGAAATTGAACTCTTACTCGTGTTCATTCCTTTCCCTTCCAGGCCTGGAACCTAGCTTAGCTTCTCATGCTTCCTGAGCTCATCCTTTTCCATCTCAAAGCTGATGATTCCCAGATTTAAATCTTCCTTCCGGATCTCCTGACTCCCATGTCACACAAACTATGTACTTTCTAGATGCACTTGTTTGGGGTGTGTCTCACAGGCACTTCCAACCTAACATGTTCAAAATTATCTGCATCTGTACCCTTCCTTTCCCCAAATAAACCTGCCCTTTATCATGCTCCTCATTCGCATCACTGGCCCCAGGACTGAACCAGGTATCCAATACTGAAACCAAGAGTACTCCTCTAGCTACACTCCATGGATCACCAAACTTGTTGCTTCTAGTTAATGTCTTGCGACTCATGGTTTCCCGCACCCTATGGCACCAGGAACCATGCATAATTGTAGCTGATCAGTGTGATAGCCCATAGTCTATTATGTATATGAATCTCCACCTTGTGTGCTAGGAAACAGTTGAGAACTGTGACATGTTTCATTTACCATGGCTTCCAAAAACCCAAATCCCATGTTGCTCCCCTGCTTAAGAGCCACAAGATCCCAATTCCAATGTGCATATAGGGAGTTCCATAACAACAAGCGATTCTTGGACACCAGCTGGGGTGTCCTACAATTCAACTCAATTCTGACACTATCTACATAGAGATAGCATCAGATCCCATAGGTTGAGGTTGAGGTCCTACAAGACTGCCCCCCTTTCAGATGCCAATCACAAGCCCAGGTTATCACCTGTGCTTCCAACCAACCAGCTACAGATTGGGGGTTCCAATGAACCCCCAGCCCCCTTGGACTTCAGACTCAGTCACAAGTCCAGGTTGTTACCATACTTCTAACCAACTGGCTATTAATCAGAGGTTCCCACAACCCCCTTTCTTGGGTTCAATTCATTTGCTAGAGTGACTCACAGAACTAGAGAAACATTTTACTTACTAGATCACTGGTTTATCATAAAAGGATATAACCCAGGAATAGCCAGATGGAAGAGATGCACAGGGCAAGGTATATGGAAAGGGGCCTGGAGCTTTCATGCCCTCTCTAGGCATGCTGCCCTCCCTGCATCTCTGCATCTTCACCAACCTGGAAACTCTCAAAACCCCATCCTTTTGGGTTATTATGGAAGCTTCATTACGCAGACATGGTTGGTTAACTCATTGGCCATTGGCCATTGATTCAATCTCCAGACTCTCTTGCCTCCCTGGAGGCAACGGAGTGGGGGGTAGAGAATGGGAGGGTGGCACTGAGAGGTCTAACCCTGTAATTACCAGGTCCGCTGCACTGGCAACCAGCCTCCATTCTTAGGCGCTTTCTAGAAGTTACCTCATTTACATACAAGAAGACACCTTTATCACTATCATTACTTAGGAAATTCCAAGTGTTTTAGGAGCTCTGTTCCAGAAACAGGATGAAGACCAAATATGTATTATAAATCACAGTATAACAAGTTCACCTGGGCTTCAAATGCCTTTAGGGCAAGATATGATTTATGTGTCCTACAGGCTTCCCCTTCTAGTAGGACCTGGACCCAAGCATCAGGAGATGATGATGTCTTTCAGTTCAGGCCCCAGCCTTCTGCACTGCCACCCATTTAACCAAAGAGGAAGACTAGCTCTGTGTTTTGAATTTTCATCTATTCTTATCTGTTGCTTTACCCCACAGAAATGTTTAAAGTATTAGTAGTTTCTTCTTCGCCAAGCAGAGCCCTCTGACTGTGGCAGGCCCCGTTATTTGCCTGCCCATGCCCAGATGTGGTAAATGCCCCCGGTAGCCACTAATCTCTTCTCATCTATGAAGTCTTGTCCCCCTTCTCCAGAATTTAGTTCCTTTAGACTACTTTGTGATATCTGTAAAAAGAAACATATTTTACTTTACCCATTCCTTCCCCCCCCCCATTATTACAGGGGAAGTGATTGTCTGCTGTGACCTTTTCAATCTAATTGGAAGTGGAATTGGGGAGATTTTTTTTGGTTATATATATCCATTAGGCATATGTCCATTTTATCCTTAGAGAGGCCCTCCCAGTCAGTTTTTCTTCTAGTAGAGTTGGGATAGACTGCTAGCCTTTCAGTTAAGTAACATGACATTGTTGGCTTGCATTTAAGGCTTATGTTTTTGGAAAATATGTCCCTTCAAAGAACCACTCTCTGTGCAGTGAGATGCTCATTCTATGAGATACACATTAAAACTGAGACTAATTGATGGTCCCATGTTTGGTCTGCGGTGCCAGTACATTATGTGGAATTGTGACTGATTTCTGTCCCTCTCCCTCTCTCTTTTCAGAGCATCATCATTAAATTTCCGTAAGTAAATGCACAGATGATACAATTTCATTTTTTGCTGCCTTTTATTTTTATCTTTTTGAAAAGATTTTATTCATTGGAGAGAGAGCGAGAGAGCATGAGATAGCACGAGCAGGGGGAGAGGCAGAGGAACAAGCAGACTCCCCGCTGAGCAGGGACCCCCCCCTCCCCAACTCAGGGATCAATCCCAGGACCCTGAGATCATGACCGGAGCCAAAGTCAGGCGCTTGACTGACTGAGCTACCCAGGTGCGCCTATTTGCTGCCTTTTAATTAATAGTAGCTCTGAATAACATGTTTTTATTTCTAATTTTTTAAAAAGATTTATTTATTGAGATTGAGAGGGGGGAGGGGCAGAGGGAGAGGGAGAGAGAGAATCCTCAAGCAGACTCCCTGCTGAGTCCTGAGCTTGAGTCAGGGCTCCATCTCACTACCCTGAGATCATGACCTGAGCTGAAATCAAGAGTTGGCCGCTCAACCAACTGAGCCACCCAGGTGCCCTTCTTATTTTTATTTTTAGATGGGGAAACTGAGGCTCAGGGATATCAAGTAACTTAGATCCAACACTAAGATGGGAAATCATGAATTTCAACCTCATCCATATGCTTCTATAATGGATGTGCTTTACCTCATTCTAGGATGGCAGATCGAATTTTTCATCAGAGGACAACTCAAGTAGATGGCACTGCCTGCCAGGAGATTCGTGTTGACAATTCTGAGGATGTGTCTGAAACCATCAGGACTTTGTGCCATGATTGGTTATCAGTATCTTCCGTGGACACAAGGTGGAAGAGTGGTGATACCTGGAAATCTCAGTCTATACCATTTGCCTCCTAAGTACCTGCCATGAGAGTGCATAAACTGCTTTGTAAACTTAATAGCACTCTGTAATTAGTTACATTAATCTTTTTTAAAAAATATTTTTATTTATTTATTTCGAGAGAGAGAATCTCCAGTGGACTCCATGCCCAACGAGGAGCCTGAGGCAGGGCTCGACCTCACGACCCTGAGATCATGACCTGAACCAAGATCAAGAGTCAGACTCTTACCCGACTGAGCCACTCAGGCTCCCCTAGTTATATTATTAATCTTACCACTACTCAAATATCTGTCCAACGACCTTAACAACAAACGACAGAAATGGGTAAGAAGTGTGTGTGACTGGAAAGTAAGCAAAATAATAGAAACTAGTCTCTAATGAATTTATCCAAGGAAAATCTTTCTGAAATGCAAATCTTATGATGCCAGACCTGGTCCTCAAGTCCTATCCCAAAAAACCTTCAATGACTCCTTGCAGCTCTATGACCTTAGAATAACCTAG